AAGGCTTTGAATCTGATGAAGAAAAAAGAGAGGAAAATACAAATGAAATGAAAGTGATTCTTAGATTCCAGAACCCATGTGCATTGAATCCGTTAAAGATAAGTGAGGCAATATATAAAATAGTAGGTGAAGTGAATACAGTCAAAACGCTAAGAGATGGCAATCTATTGGTATTATGCAGAGATAGAGATCAGGTGCAGGGACTAATGAGAAGCAAGACGTTGTTGGGAAAAACAATCAAGCCGCAAATATGGCAGGAAAGAGGAAAAGTAATGGGAGTAATATATGGAGTATCAACTGATTTGACGGAGGAAGAGATTAAAGGTAATATAAAAGGAGCTCGAGTGATTAAAGTGAAACGTCTGTTTGCTACAAGAGAAGGAGTTAAAAGTCCTAGTAAATCAGTTATGTTAGTACTAGAAGAAGATAGATTACCTGAAAAAATGATGATTGGGTTTGTCAGCTATACAGTTAGGCAATACATTCCTCCACCAACCAGGTGTTACAAATGTCAGAGGTTCGGACATATTGCTGCTGCTTGCAGAGCTAAGGCCAGGTGTTCCAAGTGTGGAGGGGAGCATGAATATGGGAAATGTTCTGAAGGAACTAAGTTAAGGTGCTGTAACTGTGGTGGGGAACACAGTGCTGCATTTAAAGGATGTGAAGCTCATAAAAGAGCAGTACAGGTACAAAATATACGTGTCAAAGAAAAAGTTACCTATGCAGATGCAGTTAAAAAGGTAAGTAACTCAAATGTTAATGCTAAAAGTATTTCTGTGCCTCACACTCCACCTCAAAAAACAGAGCAAACCCAGAGCCTGAATACCTCAGGAAATACAATGATTGTGGATAAAAATAAATTTGTTGCATTTATTGTGGAAGTAATAAATTGTTCAGCTCAGACAGATAGTAGAACAGAGCGAATTAAAATAATAATCAAAGCAGCAGAAAAATACCTTGAGATGGAAGACCTGTCTTTTGAGTCAATCAGTGCAGTTTTAACAGGGATTAATGAAAGTCAACAGTCCAGGAGTGGTGACAATTGATGGTCTTATCCATATTACAGTGGAATGCAAGAAGCTTAATTGCTAATGGCCAAGAATTAAAATATTTTATTGAAAGACAGAATGTTAAACCAAATATAGTATGTATTCAAGAAACCTGGTTAAAACCATCACTTGATTTTATTCTTAGTGGATATATTGAACTACGTAAAGATAGAAACCCAAATGTAGGAGGAGGTGTTGCCATATTTGTTCAGCAGGGAATTAATTATAAAGTTTTAAATATAAATGAAGAAATAGAAGTAATAGGGATTGAGGTATGGATTAGTAAATCAAAATTTAATATAATAAATTATTATAATCCATGTAAAAAAATAAGTAGAGAAATACTGGATAGTATTTATGTGAAGGAAAATGTTAAAAATATTTTATGTGGAGATTTTAATGCTCATAATACCTTATGGGGAAGTAAAAGGAATGATGAAAATGGAAACATAATTGAGGAATTTATGGATGATTATAACTTAACTTGTCTAAATGATGGAAGAGGTACTAGATTTGATGTAGGGCATGGAGTAGAATCTGCAATTGATCTTACTATAGTCTCAGATCAGATAGCAGGAATAAGTCAATGGGAAGTAATGAATGATAACTCCCTTGGAAGTGATCATTATCCTATTCTGCTTAAATTGAATAATTTTAAAGTAGCAGTTGAAGAAAATTGGTATCCTAAATGGAGAATGAGGGAAGCTAATTGGGAAATGTACAAAAAGATAGCAAGTGACATGTTTATGGAGATTATGCCAAATTTAAGCAATAATATTGAAGAATTAAATTCAATGATTACAAATATAATATACGAATCTGTAGAAAAGGCCATTTGCAAATCTACTGGATTGAAGAAAAAGAAAATGGTTCCTTGGTGGAACAATGAATGTAAAGAAGCTATTAAAGTTAGGAATAAAGCATTTAAAAAGTTAAAAATAAATCATTCATTTGATAATTTAATATTATACAAAAAAGCACAATCTAAAGTTAGGAGAACAGTTAAACTATCAAAAAAGAATTATTGGAGAAGTTTTTGTAGTACAATTGGAATGGACGTTAAAATAAATGAGATCTGGGGAATGATTAGAAAGATGGGAGGAATTAGAAGGGATTTTTCTTTACCTATAATTAAAGATGATCAGTGTGAAGCTATAACAAACAAGGAAAAAGCAGAGATGTTTGCAAGGTCCTTTGTGAAGGTGCATAGTTCAAAAAATTTATCAAATGAAGAATTATCATGGAGATTGGAAATGATTGAAGATAATAGAGAAATTTTAAATAGAAAAGAGATTGATGGAAGTATTTTAGATAAAGAATTTACATTGTTTGAAATGAATAGAGCATTGATAGGAGTTAAAAATACATCTCCAGGTAAAGATGGCATATGTTATAGGATGATTGAACATTTATCAGATGATGCTAAAGGAATAATTTTAAAGTTATACAATAAAGTATGGAAACAAGGTGAATTGCCCTTAAGCTGGAAGCATTCAATCATTGTACCAATATTAAAGCCAGGTAAGGATAAAGGAGAGGTTAAAAGTTATAGGCCTATAGCTCTTACTTCTAATTTATGTAAATTGATGGAGAGAATGATAACTAGGAGATTAATGTATGAAATAGAAAAAAGAGATCTTTTATCCCCTTATCAGAGTGGTTTTAGAAGTGGACGGACAACAGTAGATCCAATTGCTTGTTTAGAAAATGAAATAAGAAAGGCTCAGGTAAATAAAGAAATTCTCTTGGCTACATTTTTTGATATTGAAAAAGCATATGATATGCTTTGGAAGGAGGGTTTATTAATTAAGATGAATAAAATGGGAATCAAAGGAAAAATGTTTAATTGGATTAAGGATTTTTTAAAGAATAGAAAAATAGAAGTAAGAGTTGGGGTAAATTATTCAAACATTTATGATATACAAAATGGAACTCCACAAGGTAGTGTATGTAGTCCAGTGCTTTTTAATATAATGATTAATGATATTTTTGATAATATAGATTTTAGAATTAATAAAGCATTATATGCAGATGATGGGGCATTATGGGTGAGAGGAGGAAATCTTAGTTATTTAAAAAATAGAATGCAATCAGCAATTAAAACGGTAGAAAGATGGTCACACGAATGGGGGTTTCGTTTGTCTGTTGAGAAGACACAAGTATTATGTTTTTCAAGGAAAAGGGATAATCCAACAGTAGATCTTAGATTATATGGGCATGAATTGAAACAGGTAAATATGATAAGGTACCTTGGTGTATGGTTTGATGAAAAACTTTCATTTAAGATACATATGCAGAAGATTATTGATAAATGTAAAAAAGGTATTAATATATTGAAATGTTTGTCAGGGAATGACTGGGGGGCAACTAGCTCATCCTTGAAAAGAATATATGATGTTTTAATTCGATCTGTGTTGGACTATGGATGTATTGTTTATAAATCAGCTGCAAATTCTTTGTTGTTAGATTTAGATAGAATCCAAGCCAAAGCGCTTAAGATATGTAGTGGTGCTTTTCGAACATCTCCAGTTCCTGCTCTTCAAGTGATTACTGGAGAAATGCCACTGGACTTAAGGAGGATGAAACTGTCAATAAATTACTGGTTAAATTTACAAGGGCATGAGGAAAATCACCCTACTAAACAGATATTCAGAGAATGTTGGGAATATGGCCATAATATAAGGAGTTTTGGATGGGAAGGAAATATTTATGCAGAGTATTCTGGGATAAGTAATATAACATACTGTAAAACTGTAAGTACATCTAAAATTGCTCCATGGTTTTTCGAAATGCCAATAGTAAATTTAGAAACTAAAAAAATAGAAGAGTCTTGTGGAGGTTTGTATCAAATTATTCAGCAGCATTTAGAAGTAAGGTATGAAAATATGACACAAATATATACAGATGCATCAAAAGAGGAAAATGGTAAAACAGGAGTAGCAGTATATATTCCAAAAGAAAATATTTCTATCAAGAGAAGAACAACAGATAATTTATCAATTTTTTCAGCAGAGATGTTGGCAATTATTTTAGCATTGCAATGGGTGCTGGAGGTGAAGCCTAGAAATGTAGTTATCTGTTCAGATTCAATGTCTTGCCTGACTAGTTTTAAAAGTGGAAAATCTGAAAGCCGTCAAGATCTTTTAGATGAAGTCAGTTATTTAATGTATGGTATAAGGCAACAAAATATAAGTATTCAATTCACATGGGTTCCAGCACACAAAGGAATCTTAGGTAATGAAAAAGTAGATAAGTTAGCTAAAGAAGCAGTTAAAGTAGGAGAAATTGAATATGATGTCCCGCTAAGTAGAACAGAAATAAAAGTAATTATTAAAGATAAAATAAATAAGGTATGGCAGAAGAGATGGAATTTAGAAAAAAAAAGGAAGACATTTATATAAAATACATAAAGATATTAGCATAGGATATAACAGTATAATGAGTAGAAGAGAGGAAATATGGATAAACAGGTTAAGGATTGGGCATACTAGTTTAAATGCAGGTCTAAAAATAATAGGGAAACATCCAACGGGTAATTGTTGTTATTGCGGAGAAATCGAAGGAGTAGAACATGTGTTGATCTATTGTAGCAAATATACAAAAGAGAGGAAAGAACTGGAAAGGGTAATGGGGAGTTCAGTAAAGATGGCAGATTTATTAGGGAAGCATCAATCAGATAAGATAATTAAAGCACTTATTAAATATTTAAAAGATACAGAATTAGCTGGGAGAATTTAGTGTGTGTATGTGCGTGTGTGTAAGTATAGATAGAATTTAGTTTCATGAAGATATAAAGATATACAGACATTATATTTCTGAATTACATCTCCGTCCAGTTGATGGCGGTAATGCACACAGGATGCAAACTGCCAGAAAACTCAATAGAAGAAGAAGAAGAAGTTATGGTGAGTAGTTCTGGTTCCTGTTTAAGCCCCGCCCCTCTCCCTCGACGTCTACTCTGGCTTCTTGCTCTCCAGCGTCCGGGTGTCACCGAGGCTGGGCAGCGGCCAGACGGAGGGCTGGAAAGCGCTACTTAGCTGAAAGGTGGTATCGCAGCGGGGCTGAGGGACCGGCCCGTCCAGCTTCACGCCTGTTTAGACCTAATAGTTTGATTCCCACTGCCCTCTGTGTCAACACCGCACAGTTCCCCTGATGTCGGATTTCAAGCTCGGGATTGTGCGGCTCGGCCGTGTGGCCGGGAAGGTGAGCCGGATCCCACTGCTGCCATGTGCGGCCGGGGGAGGGCCCGTCGGGGGGATCTAGGTAGACGGGTTATGAACCGGTTTTAATGTAATCAGTCGATCAGAGTGAACGGCTTTGTCTGGAACAATGCGACCGTGTGTTCGTTAAAAATCTAGCTTTAGCGTTTTAAGGCGCGTTTGAGCGGATTAGAAAAGCCGGCCGAAACAGACTGCTGCTGCCCACAACTGTCGCTATCACAGATTCAAGCTAACACTAGCATATAGCCCCTCTCTGTTAGACAGCTCTAACGCTAATACCCTTAACTATGAACACAAATATCCCGTTTATATCCGTTTCGCTGTCAGTTTTGTTGTCTCTTGTTGCTGCATACTTTTATTACCAGTATTTTAACGGCAGTCTGCTTAAATTCTGTAGCGGTGCTGTTAGCATCACCACGTTAGCCGCGATATTTGAACCACATTGGAGCGTCGGTTAAATGAGAAAATTATCACAGTTTTATCCAAAAATTTTCGCTTTTTTTCAATGTTGCAGCTTCTATTTTGTACGGAGTGTTATTTTTATTTTTTTCCCGAACAAAATGATGACGTTAAGCCGTAGCTGACTGTATCGTTGTCAGTGTCACAAGACGTCAACGGTTAAAGAGCTGCTGCTGGAACTGAACAGTTCAGCATCCCGCGTGCCGACCCACAGCTGGTTGGTTCCAGTTAGCCATGATCTTTGTACAGCTGAAAGACCCTCACCACGCAGTCTCACCGTGGAAACTGGGTGTCACGTTACATAATAAGACGTTTGGTGTGAAGGCACAGCCACCCGCGTTCTGTGGATGTTTCTAGGGCTGGTTTGGGGTGACCCCACGTATTGCCATGCTGTTTGGTCACTGACTGTTTGGTCTCCTTCATGAAAGGCTAGTCAGGACTCGTGATCAGTGGACGATCTGAGAAGCTTCAATGTAAATATTATAGGGTTTATTCCCAGAATGTAAACTACTCCGCAGTATAACCTACATTCCATTACCTACAGTTGAATCTTGCAGTATCTGCATGTTTTCCTCTTATTTAAATCGCAATAAACAGACATGCAGTTGAAGGTAGATATAATTCTTTGCATTTGGTATTTGGCAGGTATTTGCTTTCATAAAAAAATGAAAGCAAAAATACTATATTTATATAGTGCCAATTCACAACACATGTCATCTCAAGGCACTTCAGAGGTCATCAGATCAAATTGATTCAAAGTTTTCTATCTAGGGAAAACCAGTTGATTGCATCAACTCGTTGACTCGAATGCAATCCCTCACACTAAGGATGCTTGTAGTGACAGTGGAGAGGAAAGACTCCACAGCTATAAACAAGGGTGTTGATGGCAGCAGCACAGCTGATATTTCTCTCCAGGATGGTGTCACAACCAAACAGGAACAGACTAGATGAATCTACTATGAGAAAAAGCAGAGCGAGCATAACATTAGAGATTGAACTAACAGATTCTGCAGAGTGGTAGTATAGAGATAGTGTGATGAAATAGGTGTCACTATGTCCCCCAGAAGTCATGGCCTATAGCAGCATAACTATAGAGAAACTTCAGGAATGTAACTGTTTGTCATGAATTGTCTTGCTGCACGGCGGAGTAAAGGTTAGAGCTGTCGGCTTGTTGCAAGCTACAACGTAAGCCTCTGCATTTCTCATTTCAGACGAAATACACCTTGATTGATGAGCAGGACATACCCCTAGTGGAAAACTATGCCTTTGAGGTATATTGTCTGAAGGCTTTCACCTTTACCTCATCTATACAGCACACCAGGAAGAGCCAGTCTAAACCGCTTTGTTTCATTTGTTTTTCAGGCTCGTATGGAGGTAGATGCTGATGGCAACGGTGCAAAAATCTTTGCTTACGCTTTTGATATCGGCAAAGGCCGCTGGGCTGGAAGGCCCCTGCATGAGCTGCTGTGGTGAGTTGATTTGTATGATCTACTTTCTAGATAGTTAATTGATTCTGGTGTTTGAAATCAGGCTGATTGAATTACTGATATTAAATCATTTAGGAATTACTGAAATAATCAGCAAATTAAGTAATTGGAGACTAAATGTTCCTTTAGCTGACAGAGCAATCCACATTGAGCAGCAGTTATACCAAAATTGTAAAAAGAATAATAGGTAAAAAAATTTTAATTTAAGAAAAGTTTTTATTTAACCTGTTTTAATTTAGCAAAAAGTCTTATTTGAGGAACCTTTTGCTGTCTGATTATTAATTTATTATCCGAAAAAAATTTCTAATCGTTTTGCAATATAATTGTGAGTTCCAGCCCTAGTTTGAGATATTATTTTGCCTTGACCGTTTATGGAAAAAAGTAATCGGAAGGTGGTAAGAAATAAATTATATGAAATATTATAAAATTAAGAAGTTTTGATAAAGTTGTATCCTTTCCTTTGACTTGGTAAAGAAAGAGGAAAAGCGACTCTGTTAGGAGTCTTTAAACATATCCCTAATGTGATACCTTTAACTGCTGTGACTAAGACTCTCTTAGTCAGTGGTTGGATGTGAGCTCCATGAATTCTCGGCAGCACTTTCCTGTTTATGCAATTATGCTGTTAATTTCTGTGAGTTCTTTTTATTTCTTTAACAACTTTAAGAAATCAGAAGTTGAAACAATGATTTAAAAAAATCTGCAATTATTTGTAAATATGCCAGTCCTTCCAAAAGATAAAGTGTTGTTAATGGAATCGGACAGATCAGACTCTATTACGACCAAAGCAGCAACTAAAATAATACGTGGAGGAAGTATTGAAACGTTAAGAAAATTGGGGGATTTATTTTTATTTTTTTTCTATGGAGTTTAAACACTACAAATCTCTGCCCCATCTATGTTGTTTGTTCAATGAGTCTATCCATGTTGCTATGCAGCAGTGAAATTGGCTTTGTAATTAATGTCACAATTTACAACAGGGAATTGCAGACATTAATTTCCAGGATCAGTGTCTTTAATCTCCTCTTGTAAATTGTACACGTTAATTTACAGCATGCCTTGCAGCAAGACGGTTCTGGGTTCCCTCCTCGGTCTTTCTGCATGGGGTTTGCATGTTCTCCCTGAGCATGCCTGGGTTCTCTCTGGGTACCCTGGCTTCCTCCCACACTCAAAAAACACGACTGTTAGGTTAATTAGCCTCTCTAAATTCTCCTTAGGGTGTGTGTGTGTGAATGGTTGCTTGTCCTGTTTGTCTCTGCGTTGCCCTGCGATGGACTGGCGACCCGTCCAGGGTGTACCACGGCTCTCACCAGTAGACAGTTGGAGATAGACACTAGCACCCCTTGCAACCACACTTAAAAGCATGACGAAAAATGGATAGATGGAATTTCCAGGATCATCTGTTTTCCAATTAAAACAACTAAACTTTCCCATAAAACAGTCATTTTCCAAATTTATCCAGATAATATGGCCTTTGAATGTTCTATTTGAGATTCTTTGAATCACTAGTTTTAACATTTTGAAGCCAGTCTTGAATTGTATGCAGACTTCATATCTGAGTCCATTATCTAAAAGAACAAAATGTGAATTTCTAAATAATCTGTCCTTCCAATATTTAGTTATGTCTGGATGATGACCTTTATTTTGTGCTGCATCGATAGAAACTACTCTTATCTAGGTATTGTAAAATAAAATCTGTTTTTTGAGTTTCAGTCTAAAACAACTGGCTGATATGTGCACTTTGGTACAGATTTTATTGTTTCGGCCTCTGTGTCATATAATGCTTGAATCAACCTCATACTGATCCCCGATTCCACTACTACTGAAAAACAAAAATCAACATTTACTGCATTAGAGGTTCGCTGAAAGTCAAATTAATTCAATTTCAATTCAATTCAGTTTATTTATATAGCGCCAAATTCACAACACATGTCATCTCAAGGCACTTTACAGTTCAACCAGATCATACAGTCAAATTGATACAAAGTTTTCTATCTAAGGAAAACCAGTTGATTGCATTGACTCATTGACTCAAATACAATCCCCCACACTAAGCATGCTTGTAGCGACAGTGGAGAGGAAAAACTCCCTTTTAACAGGAAGAAACCTCCAGCAGAACCAGGCTCAGTGTGAGCGGCCATCTGCCGAGGCCGACTGGGGTTCAAGGAGACAGAAGCAGAGATACAAAAAGCAGCTGTAAAAGGCGGCCCCGTCCAGGAAACACGCAGCCAGGCAGACGAGCTCCAAGGCAGCTCCCATGCCAGAGGACGAAGAGAGCACATCCACTCAGTCACGGTCAGAGAAACAGGACCACACTGGAAAACAGGCCGATCTCCAACATCTATAAACAAGGGTGTTGATAGAAGCAGCACAGCTGATGTTTCTTTCCAGGATGACGTCACAGCCAAACAGGAACAGATGAGGCAAAGCTACTCTGAGGAAAAGCAGAGAGAGCAGAAGGTTAGAGATTGAACTAACAGATTCTGCAGAATAGGAGAACAGAGAGAGAATGAAGCAGAATGATGAAATGGGGGTCCCTATGTCCTCCAAAAGTCTAAGCCTATAGCAGCATAACTATAGAGATAGCTCAGGATAACCTGAGCCACCCTAACTATAAGCTTTATCAAAAAAGAAAGTTTTAAGCCTAGCCTTAAAAGTAGACAGGGCGTCTGCCTCACGGACTAAAACTGGTAGTTGGTTCCACAGGAGAGGAGCCTGATAACTAAAAGATCTGCCTCCCATTCTACTTTTAGAAATTCTAGGAACCATTTAGAAATTCTAGGAACCATTAGTAAACCTGCAGATTTAGAGCGAAGTGCTCTGTTAGGAACATAAGGAACAATCAGATCTCTGATTATATGTGAGAAGGAGGATTTTAAATTCTATTCTTGATTTAACAGGAAGCCAATGAAGAGAAGCCAGGATAGGCGAGATATGATCTCTCTTTTTAATGTTCATTAGAACTCTGGCTGCAGCATTTTGGATCAGCTGAAGGCTTTTAACTACAGTTTGTGGACTTCCTGATAGTAAAGAATACCAATACCATAAATTAGATCTTTACACCTTTTTTTTTAAGCAATGTATTCATATCTGGTTATTTATAGTACAGAGGGTACTACCACTGTGCAGGTAGGGGTAAATTAAGGGTAAATACGCTTATTTAAAGAAATGTTCTTTACACATTTTTTAGGATTTTTTGCAGCGTGTTAAAACAAATGTTTTTTTTTTTTTTGTCAATGTGTGCCTATCAGTCCTTCAAAACAACCATGACTTCCTATTGGGAATGACTCGTGGAACAACATCAGGGATCATGAATAACAAATACAAACCTAAAGTGTGAAGGGGAAAGCAGAACTTCCAATGAAATTCATTTTTAACGCCACCTGGCCAAGTATGAATAATGGTCATGCAGTGGAGAAATATTTGTAGGCCCTGATGCGCCGGACATTAAAATCATCAGTAATATAACATCCGTTCATGGACGTACCATTACCAAAATTGTTATTAAAAGTCCTCTGTGGCCGCATCCTTTAGGATCACCTGTTTTAAGGGACGTATAACGGCCTTTGTGTGCGGTTGAAAATCCTAATTTGCGGTTCGCAAATTTAAACATCCCAAGACATCCCATGGTTCAGTTCATAAATATCACCACTATCAACACATTGTGGAAAAACTCCAGTAAAGAAATGACTGTCGCTCTCTAACGGCATTAAGAGGCTTTGATAATGTTGTGAATGGCTGTGTTTTCTACTTCCTTGTGTAGTGTGGTATTCTCAGCTTAAAGCTTGTGTTGAACACACCCCCTGGAGTCCGCCAGAACAGAGGGAAAGCCGCACAGAGTATAAATGCTGCTCGTTTTCCGCTGGAATGTCCTTGTGTCGAGCATAATGAGCCCTTAAGGCTCTAGGGTCTTGAGTCTGTGTTTGGGATCATTATCACGCTGGCACACCCAGCCATGTTCCATCTTCATTGCTTTGATGGAAAGAGGTTTTGGCTTTAAATCTAACCATACATAGCTTAATTTCCTCAATCAATGGCTGACCAAATACTTATTTCCCCCCACTGTATTTAAAACTTGGAATTAAGATATTTTTATTGATTCTCTTCTTGATAAACAGGAGGATTTTTGCTGCTTTTGTACTGGTGGAAACGTCAATCTGTTGGTCTTTTTCCAGGGAGAAGCACAGAGGAGGCATTGCTCCTACTTTTCAAGTTATCCATATCAACTCTGTGACTGTGGACAACCGGCTAGACAACCTACGACTGGTACCGGTGGGCTGGAGCCCCAAGCCAGAAGAGATTTCCAGCAAGCAGAGGTAAAGCATGCTTCACTCAATAGCTGGTACAACAATGCATCAAACAACCGTGTTGCTGTTTTAACTATAACATCTGATGTTCTGGTGTCCAGGGAGCAGTCCCTGTACTGGCTGGCCATCCAGCAGGTCCCTGCTGATCCTGTGGAGGAGCAGTACCTGGAGCTGAGCCGCACACGCTACTATAATGCTAATGGGGAGCTAGTGGAGGAAGAGGAGTGTTCCTGTACATACTATGAGTGTCATTATCCCCCTTGTTCACTCATTGAGAGGAGGGTATGTGTTAAAGGCTAAGTTTTGTATTTGGTCTGTATTGTTTTGCTTTGTGGAATGTATAGGATTTTGCAGAATTATTCACTATTTGTGTTTTGACACCAAAAACCCTCATTTTATAAAATACACTTTGAAAAAGAAATGGAGAGGCTACTGGAAGTCCTAAAGGGGTCAGAGTTAAATATATCGAGTTGATTAAAGCTGGGGTATGCTAAGAACACCCTAAGCTTGCACAAAGTTATTGACTGATTGCTCTAGATCTGAATTTGTTTAATACGTTTCAGGTTGTAATTTTGCAAAGTACTGCACGTTCTGTGAGGAAGTTAAATATTATAGGAGAGATTAAAAGGATCTGCAGATAAAATATTGATTTTTATCCCCTTCTTTCCGCAGTTGCGAGAGTTTAACATCTGCGGGCGCTGCCAGGTGGCTCGATACTGCGGCTCCCAGTGTCAGCAGAGGGACTGGCCTGCCCACAAGAAGCAGTGTCGCGAGCGCAAGCGGGTTCTGGCGCTGGAGTCGGAGCCAGAGCGGTGATCAATCGTCACCCTCGACTGCGAGAGGAGGGTCAACGAGGGGGGGTTAGATTTGTGGGAGGTGGGGGGTAAACGTGAACTCGCTGATAAGAGACTTAATGACAGAAGACAATGTTTGACTGAAAGTTTATGGGCTATTGACATGGAGGACGGGGAAGAAGAACACAGAAAAGACATCTGACGCTTCCCAGAACACTCAATTCTCCATAGCTTGCTTTTCATGTGGATTGCAGGGAATTGTATTTTTGTTTTGTTATTTTTGTCTCTATAGTTCTCATGGAGGGAGAACTTTGAGCTCAACCTGCTGCTATGGTTTTCTAAGTGATGGAAGGGGTGAAAGTTCTCTGTGAAGAACTCGGCAAGCTTCTTGGGATAACAGTCAAACGGAGCGTTCCCGTCATCCTTTCGTTCCTCCTTCCTGCCGCTCCCGCTCGGCGGGACCATGGGGCTAAAGGACCCGTCGCTCGGCTGGTACAACGGGACATGGACCTTCTCACTGTATCGCTCCCTCTCCACCCGCCCTCATGCAATTAAACAGCTGCTGCGTTTGTGATCGTCCACACCCTAAACACCTTGTCCTGTCCTTCCCCTCATGCAGATTTCACCAATTGGATCACACTACCAGTATTGAGTGTATTTGTGTGTCTGAATGCAAGTGGTTGTTTGCGTCTGTACTGCCAACGTGTGCTGAAGGACATTAAAAATGGTGGCTCGTCGGTCAGGTTCATGTATGTTGGGATTTTTTTTATTTTTTTTTGGTCTGAAAGGGGCCATATTACCCAATTTTAAATGTCCTATTTAATCAGAAATTGGTGGTTTGAAAAATATTTTCACTGTTCTAGTAAAAAGACAAATTAGCTGCCAAAATAAAGGCTTAGTTTTCTATTAAAACTTTTCCTGTTCATTTTTGTTTTTAATTGGTTGGATTTGGCTTGTTTTTCCTTACTTATCCCACCCAATGCTGGATGTTAGTGTTATTTATCTAAACTTTCCTGTCTTTGGAAACTTGCTTTTGCTCACACAGTCCTTTTTTTCTCCCCGTTTTTCCCTCTTTGAAGAAAAGCACTGATGGAAGGAGAAAACACATTTTTCATGTTCTCACAATTTGCAGGAAATATCTTGACCAAAGTCTGCCCTTGGCTTCTGTAGCTCAACACTCCTAACTGGTTCAAATCCTTCCAGTATGTCTGTTTGCTGGTTTTAGGCCCATCTCCAGCCGTTCTTTTACAGTTTTATGCTTTGTATGGTTTAATTGGCGAGGGTGCTCTTTTTTTTTTGTGTTTATTTTTTTGAAGAAATTTATGGAGGTATATTTATTAAATGACTTGATTGTGAAACCTGTTAATATTTGAAGGTAATTAAGAAATGGGACCTTTTCAGCTGGTTGTGCTTGGGTTGGGTTGAGTTCTTCCCTTTATACGATTTGTGTGATTTCCTTATGAGTCCTCCTCAGTGTTGCCCTTCCATTTTTCCAGTGAAAACATTGCACAATGTCATACTCACTAAAATCTTCCATAAAGGGGGGATGCTTTAGGAGAGGTTTGAGTTGAATTTCCTTCGACAGTAAATTTTGAAGACTGGTTATCGTCTGCCTTTTGTTTCCTACAGAACAAAAAGTGAACTGGTGGATTTTATTCTCAATCGCCTGCCTTCTTGTGTTTCCTGCAATGCACACCTCTTAAATGTGTCCTTTTGTGTCTTAGACCAGGAGTCCGAACACTTGAGCATGTGTTTCGCTCATTTACATTTATTTTTTGTGTGTCGGGATCTGAACAGGTTTTCAATACTGCACTAAAATTTGGTTCCTGCTGTTTGCTTTCATTACATTAATGCATTAAGGTAATTTTGTTTTTGTTTTTCTTCCCATTGTACAGATTTCATTGAAGATTTTTTTTTTTAAAGAAAATTCTGCATTAATCACCTAGAGATAAAGAGCTACACTATGTGAAAGGAAGTAGAGTTGGAGATAATTGCCAGTTGCTTTTCCATTGTAAGATGATAAAAGTCAAATAAACCTTGACTCTGTTCTAACAGGCATGTTTCTTTAATGGAGGGGGGGGGGTCTACACTGGCGTAAAGAAATCTTAGTTTTAGCTCATATTTTGTTTTACATTTGAACGCATTAAGCAACATTTTGAGTCACCAGAAGCACTTCGTTATTCCCCATTGGAATCGGTTTGCAATCTCAAAACTAGAGCTAGTAGAAAGTAAATATAGCAATATAATTCTCATGCTGTCTTTAGTTCTTTTTAATATGACCATTTTCTAGATGGTTTGGATACTTTTTTTAAAACAAAGAATATAAACTTAACTCACAAAAATAACACTGATCAGTGCCACCTCAAATGTTCTCATGTTGCAGCCAGAAACTGCAGTGTATTTTGCATCAACATAAAGCAGTCAACAAGGATGTGGAGTGAAAATGTGCATGTTAAAATATAGACTACAAATCTGAAAAGTGATGTGTATATGAATTCTGGAGTAGATCTGAAAAAGAATCTAATTAATCGATTATCGGACTAGATAACTAATTGAGCCATTTACTAATCCCTACCTGGAATATACAGACTTAAAATGATATTTACTAAAAACAACCCACTCAAAACAGTTGAGCCAAAACTATATATTTGGCATGAAAGATGAAAAAATAGTGGCTTTTCAGAGCATTTTTTGTTTCCTAATTTAAAATGTATTTTAAAAGTGCAGTCAGTTAAGTAAGAAATTGATTATTGTAAAATTGTAACTATTAAAGCACCCCCAAGAAACGTAGGATAAATAATTGCCGTAAAAAAATACCTAATTATACAAAAGGGATAAATTGAAATCAATTCCTCAGAATAAATCAAGTTGTTTCATGAAGGCCTTGGACGGTTGAAGAGAAAGGAGACCATTAAAAAACTAGAAGCATGATTAAAATAAAGGAACAGGTTTCCAAATATGCAGCTGCAGAGAAGTTTAAATCAGCCAAGAGACGCTCTGTAACTATGGAGGTTTAATATTTAACTGGAGACTTGTTAAATAACACCTAAATTGCCAAGCAGGGTTTGAGTGAATGTGTTCAGAACATTTTTTTTTTTTACATTTAATTGAGCTATAACTTGGTCTATAATTATTAAACCAAATCTTCAAGTTTAGGGCTATATTGAACCAAACAAGGCCCCTTTGTTAAACCTGCTCTCATCTCCTTAGTCTTTGCTCTGTGTAACCAGAAACAGATGTGCAGCTGCTTTCTGTGGCACTTTGGTAACTTTATCTTCCATGTTGTTACTGTTGTCTCAGCAGTAGGTGGGTTTTCTCCATCTGCGTCCTCTGCTTACTTTTCCTAGCATTTCCAGGAGAATACATCAGTTGTTTCAGGGCGCCTTGCTGGGTCAGAGGTCAGAGGTCAGATGGTAAGTCAAAGAAGCTGTCATCATAGCATGACATCCTTATACCAATGCTGCTATGAGCATTAATTTATTTTTTGTTGAGAATATATATGTAAAAATCTTCCTGATTAGAGGATTTGCTATTATCCTTGTTTAAATTAAACTGAGGAAGGGGAAGGTTTTAAAGCTGCTCTTTGTTTTCCTAAGCAGAGTATAGCGTTGTAGCGCTTTCTGGCCATTAGGTGTCGCTGTGGTTTTCTACTCGTACCTCGTTTATTTCTCTCGTTCTTCAACGCGGAAGTTCAACTTATTTTTTCTTTCTTTATTTTTTTTTATTATTATTTTATATATATATATATATATATATATATATATATATATATATATATATATATATATATATATATATATATATATATATATATATATATATATTTATAAATAAACCAATAGTGTACAAAGTCTCGTTGAAGTACAGACATTTCAACGTTGGTAGAAAAAAATGACATAAATATGGGGCTAAAAACAAGAACAGATACATAAACAATAAGGCCAATGAATAAACATAGAGCAAGATTTAAAACTAAAGAAAAGTAGAAATACTGAGAGTTACTTTTTTTTGGCAGAAACAGATTTCAAATTTTTCAATGAGGAGTAATACAATTTAAATTGATTAAGAAAAAAAAAATCAAAACAAGGAGTAGAACCTCTCCATTTACAGCAATGTATATAATTGACAAGCAAAAAAAAAAACAATATTAACCATATCTGAAATCTTACTATCAAGGTAATCAACATAATACAACACGTGGGTGATTGTTGTTTCTTGGATGTCCTCAATTTGAAGGGACAACCCATTTTTGTTATGTCTCTCCATGGTTTAAAAGAAAAGGGACAGGAAAAAAAAAAAGAAGATGATTAAGGGATTCAATCCAGACGTTCACAAAAGGCACAGCATGTTAAATCAAATTTAAATCTTTTATGCAAAAATTCTGCCACTGGGTAAATTTTGTGCGAGATTTTAATCTGAGTCTCTTTAGCCATTGGTGAAACCGGTCATTTAACAAATTTAGCGAATGCCTTCTCAATTAAGGGCAAATTAGTTGTTGTCAAAAAACTATTATAATAATAATTAAATAATTGGGATTTGAAGGCAGTCACACGTATACCATTATTACATTTTTTATCAGTCACAAAATATTCTCCAATTTTCAATTTGGGTAAAGATGGAGTAACATTTGAATGTCTTAAGGTGTTTTGGATGAGATGGATCAGAGCTTCAGGAATAGCTTTGCATACTTTTAAGTATTAATTAAAAGTACAGCACAGATTAAATTTATTAATAAACCATGATTTAGGAAAACACAGTGACTGTCCATTAAGGCAATTACAAATACAATACCTCTTTTATACCAGTCAGTTTTAAAAATAGATTTTCTATTTATTAATGAAGTTCGACTTAGAATAGGACACACAGGATTGAATAAGTCATTATTTTTAATAGGGAAACGTCAGACAGGAGAATGTGGGGAAGATGAGACAGTGGAACATGTTATTTTGAGTTGTAGGAAATATTTGATTCAGAGAAACAAGTTAACTAGAAAACTTGACAATGTTGGTTTACTGCAACAGGAAACCGTGGATATAAGGTTATATTTGGGTGTTTGAAACAGATTAAATTGTATAACAGGATAGTTTTCTTTTGCCATGTGGTCTACACTCCTGACCAGTTGGTGGCGGTAATGCTCACCAAACGGTTTTACCAACCGCCATAAAATAAAAGAAACAAGACGAAGAAGAAGAACGCGGAAGTTATATAACAGTACACATAAGAGAAGTATGTGTACTGTTTGATATAACTTACATTTCAATTTATACTCTAAATTTAAACTTTTAAATTGAACCTACTTGCCACTATGGTGAACCTTGGTCTGACGAAAGTGGACGACGCAATAGCAGCAAAACACCCTGTAAGAAATACTGCTGTTTACTTTGCTTTTTGCCTAAAGACCCAGAATCTCTGGAGGACATTTAGCATGAATTGATTACAGACATGTTTAAACGTCAAATACCAGAGCAACAAAGAGACTCATTTTTTTTTTTTTTTTTTTTTTTTTTTTTTTTTGGAGGTAGAAGCTGCTTCTTTGATATGGTTGTGTTTGTCTTTCAGGGGTTGCAGAGTTATGCTGCCTGTCAGTCTCACGCCTTTATGAAGGGAACTGGGAGCTTTGTGTTGGGTAATGATTTTATCACCTCAGAAATGTCTTATTTAGATTGCAATTGGTTTTAATGAACATTTTCGTGTTTCATGCTATAGAGCCCTGTCCTTTCTTTTTGACCTTTCTTGTTCTTTGACTTTGAATCCTATGTAATTACTTGTTAATGGGGTTACAGATGTCATTATGCTAAATGCAGTATAATTGTGTTTTCACATAAATGCAACATTGTTAGTGAAACTTCATTAAGAAGCATTTAAACCACATGGTGGAGCTGTAATCTCTGAATTAATCTTAAACTAACTCTGGGACTTCACTAATTCTCCTTTTTTTTTAACATATCTTTATTACATTTTTCAGCTTATACAGGCAACAAAAAACCATGCAGTGACAGAGAGGAAAAATAAAATAAATAAAGATAAGTAAGTCAATAAATAAAACTAAATCAGGAAATCTGTAACAATATCTCAAAAAAGAATAATATAGAGTACAGACAGTACAGAAAGAAAAAACAAAACAAAAAAACACAAAAAATGTAACATTAAAGCTCAGATTAGTTAATCAATTAAAAGGATACATAAGCAGATATCCAGGCATTACAGTGTCGCTATAATAATTGGTTGAATACACACTCAAGTATGGTGTTCTCCAGGAATCTCAGACCAGATAAGTCCATAGAGTCCTTTCTGTATACTCCGTGCACTCTCTATGCCAATGTAATCTAAGAATGGATCCCATGTTTTGTGAAATAACAGAGGTTTGTCCTTTAGCCAGTGGGTCATTGCCTCCAAGGGAATTAGTTGTGAAAGCGTAGGAGGTTTGTCAGAGATCCATTGAAGAAAAACACACCGTCTAGCAGTCTCCCCACATATAAGAATTTAAGTTCAATGCAGGATGTAAACCAAGGATACAAGACAGTGGGGTTAGGTCCAGATCCTTACCAAATATGTCAGATATTTCTTTACAGACCTTTATCCAGAATTTTTTGATGAGGGCGCAGTCAAAAATGCAATGGTAGTATGTTCCCTCTGAGATCTTGCATTTATTACAGTATTTTGAAAGTGTGGGGTTAAATTTGTTCCTTAATATTGGTGTTATCTGCAGCCTATGGGTGATTTTGAATTGTTGTTCATCTGGGATTGATGTCCCCAAATCAGCCTCCCAGGTGCAATCTAAGATGACTGGTGCCCTCAGCTGGGGGGAACAGAGCACCATATAACCTGATTATCGGTTTTCGGGGCTCAGGGTCTTGTAGCACTTCTATAGAAGAGTGAGAGAAGCCACAGGACATAACCTTGCTTTTGAAGATATGAAAATACGTACCTGCCAATACCTAAATAAATGTCTGGAGGGGATGTCATTTTGATCTGTTAGCTGGTTAAAGGATTTGACTGTGCCATCCATTCAGTCTCCTTAAAGGATGTGCCTTTTGCTGCTCTCAGATGTT